ACGTGCAAAGCCAGGAGGACTGAGGGCAGACCACGCGTGTATTATGTGCCTGTGGGCAGACACGCTTGCGTGTCCAGACACATACAACCCACAAGCTCATGCACATACCTCTGTAGCTGGAATTGCTTGGCCCCCAAAAGCCCCGGCCTGCTCTCAAAACAGTCATGGACGGGGCGCTGACTGCCCAGGGGAGGCCACTGATGCCTTTTGTGGTCTGACCTGGGCTTGTGCGCAGTGAGTAAATGACAACTCTTCAGCCTTCAGATGGTGTGACAGGCTGGCTGTGTCCCCCCAACATACACAGGTTGAAGTTGGCTATGGTTCGAATGTCTCCTCCAAAACACACGTTTGAAACTTGACTCCAATGCTGACCATTGAGAGCTTGGGCTTTTGGAAGGTGATCAAGTCATGAGGGCTCTGCCCTTATGAATGGATTAATCCATTGTTTTTTTTTTATTTTTGCAATGATGGGGTCTTGCTATGTTGCCCAGGTTGGTCTCAAATTCCTGGCTCAAAGTGCTGGGATGCCAGGTGTGAGCCACCACAGCCAGCCTCCATTGATCAAGCAGTGGGCTGTAATGGCAGAGCAACTGGCAGCTTTATGAGAGCCAGAGAAATCCGAGCTAGCACATCAGCCCCTTCCCACGGGAGGCCCTGAGCCCCCTCAGGGCTCTGAAGAGAGTCCCCAGCTGCAAAAAGGCCCTCACAAAGTGCCTTGGAGCTCTTAGCCCTGTCACTGTAAGAAATACATTTCTTTCCTTTATAAATCACCCTGTTATAAGCAACAGAAAACAGACGAATACAAAGTCCTCCTAACCCTAGTATTTCAGAGTATGACTGTATCTGGAGAAAAGTCTTTTTCCCCCCCTTCATTGTTAGAGGCAAGGTCTCGCTCTGTCACCTAGGCTGGGGTGCAGTGGTGTGATCACAGCTCACTGCGCCTCGACCTCCTGGACTCAAGCATCTTCCCACTTCGGCCTCCCAAAGAGCTGAGGCTACAGGTGCATGCCACCACACTTGGCTGAGAAAATCTTTAAAGAGGTGATTCAGTTCAAGTGAGGTCATCAGGGTAGGCCCACACCCAACCTGACTGGTGTTCTCACTAGAAGAGGATATCAGGACACACACACACACAGAGGAATGACCATGAGAGGACACAGGGGAGAGACACCGTCTACAAGCTACGGAGAGAGGCCACCATTGGAGGAACCAGCCCTGTGACCCCTCGATCTCAGACTTACAGGCTCCAGGACTGCGAGGGGATGAAAGTCTGGGGCTTAAGCCGACCTGTTCTGTGGTCCTTTGTTGCTACACTAACCCTCACACACTAACATGGATGGTAACGCAAGGCAGACAGCTTGTCTCCCTCTCAAATGCCCGACCAGAAGTGAGGCCTCAGCCAGGCGCAGTGGCTCACGCCTGTAATTCTAGCACTTTGGAAGACGGAGGTGAAAGGACTGCCTGAGTCCAGGGGTTCGAGGCCAGACTGGGTAGCTTGGTGAGACCTTGTCTTTACAATAAATTCAAAAAGTTAAGCAGGGCTTGGTGGCTCAGCCTGATCGCGCTTTGGGAGGCTGAGGTGAGTGGATTGCCTGAGCCCGAGGGTTCAAGACCCGCCCGGGCAACTGGGTATAGACCTCATCTCTATAATAAATCAAAAAATTAGCCGGGTGTGGTAGCACACGCCTGTCGTTCTAGCTACTCGGAAGGCTGAGGCAGAAGGATCGCCAGAGCTCAGCAGGTTGAGGCTGTGGTGGCCGGGAGCATGCCACCGCACTCCAGTCTGGGCGACAGAGTGAGACTCCAACTCAA